GCACTATTCCAAGTAAGGAGATAATGTCAACAAGATGCAATGGAACACTAGAAGTGAAAGAGATGAAACCTAATCCTAAACCGGAAATAAGGGATAACCCTCAACTCTTGTTCAGATGACCGGATAGGAATGTGAACCTGACGATAAGCGAACCTATCTATACCTATCTAGGAAAAAATGAAGTAAATAAACAGTAAATAGAATTTCAGGGTTTTAAGCATAGTAGTTGGAACTACAGAGATGAATTAGACATTTTATAAGAAACTGGAAACCTCAGTCCTAAACCGCAAATCAGGGATAACCCTCTGCCCCTGTACAAAAGGCCTGGGAGGAGTGTGAACTGGACGATAGGCAAACCTATTATTTGTTATGAAGCTGTGAACTTTGATATTAAAATTTCACTCTATAATGCTCTATAAATAGGCTACAGATCATAACTGCAGCCACGTGTGTGTGTGTGTGTGTATATATATATATATATATATATATATATATATATATATATATATATACACACACACACACACACACACATCTACGTTCATTTTTTGCCGATATTTCATCCTTTGCATTCTATTATTATTATTGTTATTATTATTTTAATGAATTTATAAGCGGCATTTTCACGTATTCAGTCTCCTTTGTCCTCGAACAGAGAAGCCTAATTTCCCTCACACGTCGTTTTCTTTGTGTCGTGTTTCCTCAGGACGTAGGTGACGTTGCTCTCCACAATTTCCTGTCCTTTGTGGCTCTTAATAAATTTTTACCTTTTCGCTATTTCTCCTAAACCGTGTTCCGCCATCTATTTACTTAAACTCAAAAAGAATGTTATGTTCTGTTCCTCTTGCCCTCAATCTGTCCTGTGAGTATCACATTTTCCAAGCCTTCCTTCCTTATGATGTACTGTCTCTTCCTGGTGTTAAGTATAAGTTTCCTTTTTGTTTTCATTTTCTCTAAAGCCTCATCGTTGCTCACATATTCAGTCCATGGTATCCTCAGCATCCTTCTGTAGAAATTTCAACTGTCTCTTCCTGATGTTAAGTATAAGTTTCCTTTTTGTTTCCATTTTCTCTAAAACCTCATCATTGTTCACTTGTCTGGTCCATGGTATCCTCAGCATCCTTCTGTAGAAATTTCAACTGTCTCTTCCCGATGTTAAGTCTAAGTTTCCTTTTTGTTTCCATTTTCTCTAAAACCTCGTCGTTGCTCACATGTTTGGGCCATGGTATCCTCAGCATCCTTTCTGTAGAACCACATTTCTGTTGCGCCAAGTCACCTCTTTATCGTTGAGGAGATTGTAATGAATTCACGACCATCTCGAAGGACCGATATCACGTGACAGTCCCGTACTCTTTTCTTTGTTTCTTACGAAAATTTTTCTGTCTCCTAATACTTGGCTTAGCTTTTCGAATGCACCTTTGGGTTCGAGTGTCGCACTTCGCAGATATTTAAATTTTTGTACTTGTTTGATTTTGGTATCTCCAATTTGGAATTTTCATTTTTTGGTTCCCTTCTTTTGCTAACAACCATGCATTCTGTTTTCTTGCAGTGTTTAGTCCTTTCTTCTTTAGAATTATTCCTCCCGACCTCAGACGCTTGTGTGTCTCTCCCGGGCATGACACATAATTCACTTGAAAAATCTGTTAGATATTACGTTTGGCGATAATCGTAGAATTTCTTCAGGGTACTTCAAGAAACAGAATCCAACAAGGATGTTAAAGATGCTAGATGAACATCCTTCCTCGTCTGCTATCGAGTTAATTAACGGAAATAAACTCCACGTTCTTGAAAAATGTGAATTTATTCCCGCAACAAACTTGGAATTAAAATTATTAAATTTTACCTTGTATCTACATATCGGGACCCTTCAAATATTGTTCATAGTTTTTATCAAGGACTGTATGTGCAAATTGGTCTCATAGCAAAGTAATGTACATCTTCTATATGACGTTGTCCATTTATAATAAATTTTGTTATCTCTCCTAAGACTTGCTCCGTCATCCATTTAGTAAACCTCATTCTTTTATATGCCGTATCCTGTCAGAACGTTGGCGATCATGGCTCTCCACAATTTCCTGTCTATTGTAGCTCTTAATAAAATTTTATCTTTTTGGTATCTCCTTTAAACCTTACTCCGTTATCCAAGCTCGTTTGGTTGGCTATGCGTTGTTTTCCTATGTTTCTATTGCCTTCAATCTGTCCTGTGCGTATCAAATTTTCCAAGCCTCATTACGTGCTCTAGAAATTTCAACTCTCTCGTTTTCTGATAAGTGTCTTTTTGTTTCAGTTTTCTCTAAAACTTCATCGCATGTTCGGTCCGTACTTTCAGCATCTATAGAACCAGATTTCTCTTGCTTCAAATTTCTTTTTAATCTGTGAGGAGATTGCCGAGCATTCATTGCCATATAAAAGGACTGGTATTACATAATAGCTCAGTAATCTTTTCTTTATTTGTAACGAACACTGTATGCTTATAATTTGGTACTATCAAAAATGGTGATAACATTTAAGCAACTGTCTTAGTTACATTTTTTTTTTGAATAGGGGTCTTGTGCACCCCCACCTGCGAATTTATGATATAGCACCCCCTCCCAATCTATGATATCTCAATTTTCGTGTGGTAATATTCATATAAAATTCAAATTTTATTGTAACCTAATTATGTACCAAAATGGATCATATGCTATATAGGTGAATAATTCAACTGCAAAAATTGAAAATAAATCCAATGTATCTAAATACAAATTAGAGACATTTCATAATAGATCCTTCCGTCTTAAATTAATGTTTTGTAGTAATTTTTAACATCAACTTTTTTGTTAAAGAGTCGAATAATTTTAACACATTCAACATTATAGATAAAAAAAATAATGAATTTTATATTTTTTCGAGCGAGCTTGAGTATGACAAATTCACTAAATTCAAAGAAAAAAAAACAAGTAAAAAATACGGGAAAATTTGTCATCCTTTAGTAATTAGTTGTGCTTAGTTTAATTTGTAACGTATATAAATGGAGGTAGGAACAAAACAAATGTTGATAAGATAGCAGAGTGCCCCGGGCCCTCAATCAGGCTTTTGCTCTCCCACATGTTTGGGAATGAAAAAGAAAAAGAAAGATAATTCTACTTTTTAAAACTAAAATATCCATATAAAACTAATACTAAAGAACAGGAATATAAAATGATGCATCAGCAATCTGGTCTCACTACTACTACTAATTTATATATATATATATATATATATATATATATATAATGCGAGTTTGTGACACTGGGTTTCACGCTTTTGCGATCGTCAGACAAGCTGATTAATTTTTTTAAAAATTTTGGATTTATGTAAAATACAAAATTAAAAAAAAAAATAATCAGTTTTCCTGACGATCGCAAAAGCGTGAAACCCAAGGTCACAAACTCACATCAATCCAATCAAATATGTTAGCTCTATCTCTGATATTGAGCGCTTTCTACTAAGTACCACGCATATAATATATACATAATAAATATATATATATATATATATATATATATATATATATATATATATATATATATATAATGAATGTTTTATAAAAATTTATATGATAATGGTCCATGCTTATCAAAGGCTGACTCAGTTTTGAAATTTTTAATTACACATCGAGACTTTCTATAAGAAATATAAATAAATATAACGTATTTTTTACCGTATGACGGTAGGTTTAAAATATTTTTGCGTTTGCATTGGTTAAATTTTCAGCAATTGTCTTTCTTTTATTATTTTGTATGTAAGATAGATTTTTAAAATTACAACTAACGAAACAAGAGAGAAATCCCTATATATTAGTAGCCTGATCTCCCCTACTTGCTAAATAAGGTCTTCGCTTATTTGTGTCGAGTAATGCCCTAATATCAGAATATTTCGTTAGTAAAAATGGAAGATCATGTTGCGTCGCCAATAACTACATAAAAGTATCTTGAAATTCTGATCCAAGGTAATACATCCCACCAGATATTCGGATTCACTTTTTTTTTAATCTTTTATTATCCAGAAGAAGCGTTTTTACAATCGGTGGAATAAATTTTGTTCCCTGCACTGGATGTGTTATCACGGGTAGGATTTTTATTCATTTATTTTTGTAAATTCAACAAACATTTTAAAATAATGATTACAAAATGAAGGAAGAAAAATGACACAATTATGTTTTTATATCGTATATACTCAAGTATAGGTCGATTTTTTATGATCAGTTTTTACTCAAAAAAATAGTCTCGACAGGTAATTTGTTTTGAAGGAGGTTAAAAAAAATCTTACATTTTCGGTGAACGGTTGTACTATACACATGATTTTTTTTTTTCTGGAGGGTTTAAAATTCATGCAAAAATATTCACTACACATAAAGTCGACTTATACACGAGTGTGTATAGTACTTTTTATTATTTTTTTAAAATTACATTTTTGTGCTTGGAAGACAGGCAAGATGTTGCCTGCTTTTATCATTACCCACTGACCTTACTGCTACTTCTGAGCTTATTGCATTTTCTGCTTTAATGGGCAAAATATTTTGACGTTGGGGAGGGGATATTATTAAACATAATTTTTGGAAAAGTTGCTTAAAATTTGAAGTTTCAAATGCGAAGTAGTCAGGAATTAATACTAAGAATAGGACTGCGAGATTGTTATATTACACACTTAGTATCCATCGCCCTGCGTTATTTATTATTACTACTATACACTAGGTTATATTAAGTGGTGTCTGAGTTGACTTTTCTTTTATTTTAAAGAAAATAAAACGACTAAGTTTGTCTCTACCGTCCAGTCTTTAGGGCCAGACTCCCCTTTATCAAAAGTCTTCGTCGAAAAATCCAGGCCAACGAGACGAAAATGCACTCTTACAACAAATAAAAAAAAACAAAAAAAAAAAAAACATACATTCGCTTAAGCAGGGATCCTCTAAATATAAGAGATATAGCAACTCCGTTAGTCTACAAATTAAGAACATGTTCAAAGGTTTTAACTTGTAAATGAATTCAGAGTTTCGTGAATCTCTCTGTCTGTCTGTCTCTCTGTCTGTCTGTCTCTCTGTCTGTCTGTCTGTCTCTCTGTCTGTCTGTCTCTCTGTCTGTCTGTCTCTCTGTCTGTCTGTCTCTCTGTCTGTCTGTCTCTCTGTCTGTCTGTCTCTCTGTCTGTCTGTCTCTCTGTCTGTCTGTCTCTCTGTCTGTCTCTCTGTCTGTCTGTCTCTCTGTCTGTCTGTCTTTCACGTGGTTCCCAACATGAGGCGAACCCCCGATGGGGAAAAGGGGCAATTTGATTTTATTTGGGCGAGGAATAAGCAAGAATGGGCTATTAACAGTGAATTTTTAGTGAGTATGAATGCTTTGAGTTATATATAAAATGGTGCATATGCAGTCTGAATACATAAAAAAAAATGTGTAGTATGTATATATATATATATATATATATATATATATAATATATATATATATAGTCTGAATACATAAAAAAATTGTGTAGTATGAATATATATAAATATATATATATATATATATATATATATATATATATATATATATATATATATATAAAAATGGTGCATATGCAGTCTGAATACATAAAAAAAATTTGTGTAGTGTGTAATATATATATATATATATATATATAAATAATATTGTAAAATTATAATACTATTGCATATATACAGTCTCAAGTTCTCAAGGAAGTTAATGGTCCTTTTAGGCGCCCTCCACGTAAATAGGAGTTTGTTTTTTGAATAAGAAGAATTATATGTCACAGGTGGGGGAACTTCAGGATTTTAGAGATGCTTAGGTGGTTCCTTGCCCACAAAAGTTGGGAACCACTGATATATATATATATATATAATTTGTTTTAACTTATTTTAAATAGATACTGATATTTGAGTAGATGCTCTATTTATATTTGTTTATTTACAGATATCGGCTTGAATATTCAAGAAATCTCATAAAAAAAAAAAAATGCTCCATCCGGCAGGATTCGAACCTGCATCCCCTAAGGAAAACCGCCATTAGATCTTTTATATATATATATATATATATATATATATATATATATTAAATCAGACATATTTTTAATTTATTTGTTTAAACCGTCATCAAATCTGAAATGTCTTATACCAACTTGGCTTTTTTTTTATCAGGAGGACCTACGTGGCCTAGTCGGTCCTAAGCCATGTCAGTTCTAATGATGGATTCCTCCAAGGGACGCAGGTTCGAATCCTGCCGGAGGACGCATATTTTTATAAGAATTCTCAAATATTTAGGCCGATATCTGTAAATAAAGAAATATAAATAGAGCATCTACGCAAATATGAGTATCCATTTAAAATACGGTTTAAATAAATAAATTAGAAATATGTGTGAAATGCGTTGCTGATGATTTTTGTTCGTTTTTTACTGTAGAAATGCACTTAAAATTTTTTAAAATTAACATGAATGTTACTGAAAAAATACTATTGTATATGGGAGAAAAATGATACATAAATTCTACGCATCAGAACAATATTGGGGAAAAAATGACAAAATAAAAAATATAAAAGTAGACGAAAGTGTATAGAAAGTGCTTTAATCGCTAGATCGTCTGCAATAAATTTGCCTTCAGTTTCACATAACTTTTCTCTTTTGTTGGCAGATTTTCTATTATTGCAACGTGGAATACTTAATAACAAAGCGATATAAACATAAAGAAAAAGAAACTAAGTTGTCTAGACTACATATCCAAACGCACCTATATCAAGAAAAATAAATAAATTTAAAAGTTTACAAGTCCAGTGTCTCCTCTCCTTCATGTGCATGTGTAGTTACATTTACGTAAACATCACTTTAGTACGATAAAGTTGTAAATGACGAAATGCGACACACGAACATTTTTTTTCTACTTTGTCATTAATTTTCCAAAATACTGTATATGAATATATCTTTTATGATTTGTTACAGAAGTACTTTATTTTTTTTATTATTATTTATTCTTACTTATTTATTTTGTAGAAATGCATGGAACATGATGAAATATATTACCAGGAATTAATAAATGCACTAATGAGAGAATAAGGCTTTATATACATATATATATATATATATATATATATACCTAGTGAGCCAGACAAACCCTATGTCTACACGTTCCATATTAGTCGATTTAAAACAGTGCTCGATAAGATAACCTAGAGCTTTATACATAGCTAGTTAGTCTAGTTATATATATATATATATATATATATATATATATATATATAAGTAAGTATGTGCATATGAAAAACTTGAACATTTATTGTCCGGTTGTTAATTCTATGATAATAGCTTGCCACTCGTCTACTACCCCTATTGCAGACGCTGTCTCAGGCACATTGGTGTTTATTCAACACCGAAAGAGCCCACCTGTGGTTTATACTGCAACTATGCTGAACAGACCTTAGTTACAGTTTCTGGGAGAGAGCGTTTTATCTAGCGTGATCAACATTCTGAACAAGGCCAGCACACTCAAACTCTCGGTCACGATGACTTGTGACTTCGTTCTAGCACAGCTATCGACGACCCTCACGTGTTATGGCACTTTCCAAAAGTGCCGCACGCTGGGACTGTCACCCTCCAACCGTGGGTGGATCTCAGGGTCAGAAAGCAAACGTTCTAACCACTCGGCCATTGTTAATTATATATATATATATATATATATATATATATAATATATTTATTTTTTTTCAAAAAATAGGTTTCTTTCGCAAAAAAATTAAAAATTTGAAGTTTCATACGTTTTGCATTTTATATACCCGGGTTGGTAGTAACTGTTCGGGTCCCAGCTATGGGCAAATAGTGAACCATGTCATTGATCGACACCCCAGCGCCACCAATAAGAACTTTTTGATGGGGGGGGGGGTTGCGAGGGCACGTTATTACTTGCTGGGACATCTCCTGGGAGAAGGTGAACTGGGATGTAAACACCCATGGCACACTAGCAGCCGATGATGTTGATGTCCCCTTCTTTTCGGATCATTGCCTGTGTTGCTCAGAGAGTGGGATTGACCTTGTACCCTCCGTCTTTCTTCACTTTAAAAATTTTCATATGCAGGCATTACACAATATTTTGGGAGATCTTACTGGGTGGGGCGTATGACTGGCCGTAGCCTTGAAAGACATGTCCGTGCGTAATACGTGGGAATCTTTGCGTGATGCTGCGCGATGGGCATGCTCGATAACAAGAAGGCAGCCATCACGTACGTACGTACGTACGTACATATCTTTAAGACGGGCATACTGTCGAAATATAGTTGAACATTGTTAAACACTGTTTTATTTTCTTAAATAGAGAAGTGTATTATTATTATTATTATTAACAGCACTTAGAGAAGAGAGCGATTTAAGAAAAAAATGTTCAGCAACATTTTGACATTGTCAAACAATTTCTTTTCTTTTCTTAAATAGCTCGTCTCTAAATATTGCTGTTAATAATAATAATGATGATGATGAACAATCAAAACTAATCGCCCAGACATTGTTATTAGACACCACAAACAAAAAAAAATGGTCTCCTAATTGACATGGCTGTATCTGCAAACTGCGGTGAATCTTTGATGATCTTCAAAAAGCCATCAAAATACAAGGATCTTGAAATCGAAATCTCAAAAAATGTGGCAGATGGGAACATCAACAATCCCAATTGTAGCTGGACCCCTCGGATTGATTAGAACACTTTTCAATAGACTCATTGAACTGACTCCTGGAAGCCTATGTCTTAAAGAAATACAAAAAAAAATGTTCTCACGAGTACAACCCACACCTTACGGAGGGCTTTATCTATGTAAAATATAATGTGTTTTTCTTCAATTTTTATTTTTATTTATTTTTTTTTTTTTTTAAGTCTGTGGAAAATGTCATGACGCCATTTCTGAACTTAGATCTTTGGGCGAGACCCGGAAAGAAATGTGTACACACCAGAAATCAAAGGAAATAATACTGCTACTAATAATAATAATAGGTTTCCTACTGTTAAAAGTAGTAATAACTGTTACTTCTTGGAATAAGAACAAATAGAAAATAATTTTATGTGACAAACATTATTTTAATAAACAAAATAAATTTAGTATTGCATAGGTAATGCTACTAGGACAATAATGAAAAAGACAAAAATACTAAAGTATTATTATTATTAAGTAATAGAATAAGAATTGGGTTATCTCGGTCACAGCAGTGTTAGGGTTAGCGATAAAAGTGGAGGAGGAGGAGATCTGGGATGATTTAATATTCTTCTCTTTTACTCTATTCACAGCTAGACTCGCGAAATACGTCAGGTGTGAACGCTTAAATTTATTATTATTATTATTATTAATAATAATAATAATAATACGGATGAGGATGATTTAGATCAAGATAAGTAGGGGTGAGGTGAAAAACATTGACACAAGGTCATTTGTTTAATGAGACCATTTATCAATGACCTGACCTGATAAAGAACACACGACACCTCGTCGCTTTCATATTTCGAGTCTGTAAATATCATCAAATTACTTCGCGGACATTAAACAAAAAGTCTTTCCATTCGTCCTACCACCGCCCCCTCTTCTTTTCTTTTTCGTTTCTTTTTTCTATTTTTCTTTTTTTTGTCTTCGTAAAACTATGACATTTCACCTGAAAAAGCCAGATTTTGCCGCCGTCAGATTTGCATTTTTAACCTTTAATATTATTACACATATTTTTTTTATCTGGACTAATATTGCAACTTCAAGTTTGTTCGATGTTTTGGTTATCGTCGATAAAGAGTTTACAATGATAAAAGGACAGATCTGTGAAGATTGTATTACGCCCGGTTTTCAAAGTCTGTCGAAAAATTAAGATTCAAAATGCTAGATTTTTAATAACACTCTTTTGCATATTATTATTAGTTACCTATGAGGGGGTGCTGAAAAGCTCTCGAATCGACCAAGAACTCTTTACAAAAAAAAAAAAAAGAAAGCTTTTGGGCATTTTCTAGATTTGTGGAAATAAATCAAGCCGATAATTTTTCAGCAGCTACTCATTTTCGAGTATATATCAGAGAGTGCGATAAAAATAACTGATCTTAATATCCGAACAAAGTATATAAGATCGAATATATGAAAACAAGTTGGATTTTTATATTGTTATTCCGTTGGCAACGTTTCGCTCAATAAGAACATCATCAGAAAATTAAACAAAATTAATGAATAATATTTTTAAACACTAAAATCCTTCATCAATGATAGCTAAAAACTAATGAAGATAGGATGATGATCTGAGCTAAAGAACATGAAAGAAATAAGTTTATTTGAAATAGAGAGAGAACGTTCTCGGGAAGATAATGAGGAA